TCTGCGGGTGAAGTCCACGTCTTAAAGTTGCTGAGGTTGAGAAACACTGATCTAGTCCAATCTCCTGTTTAGAGCAAGAATCACTAAAGTATCCCTAACAGAAGCCCATCTTCACCCTCTGTTTGAAAGCCTCCAATAAGGAGGAGGCCACCACAGTTCTAGGTAGACTTTTCCATTCTCAACAGTAATGATGGTTAGGAAATTCTACTATTATTCAGCATGAATATATCTTCCTATTAATTTCAAGCTTTTAGTCCTTATCTCCTCAGTTGCAAGGGAGAATAAATTTGCTCCCTTCTGCAGGTGACAAACTTTAAGATATTCCTGAACCACTATCACATCTCCTCTTAGACTTATCCTTTGTAAACTAAACATGCCCAAACTCTTAACCATTCTGGTCATCGTATTCTAAGGGTGGCCTAACCAGCACAGAGAACAACAGAATTGAACAAAACAGGCCAGTAGAGGTGACCTGACTAAAAGAAGAATGTTCTCAAGTAGTAAGCAAAACTTCTCCATCTTTGCTCACATATTTATTACATCAGCACCCTACGTTTTCTCTGAGAAGTTCAGAGCTTTTAGCCTCAGCATAACTTTGTGAAATGTAGCCACCCAGAAGAGTTATAGCCATCTGGTCAGTTTCAAAGATGAGAACATTTGAAATCAGTTCTCACAGTAGCATCACATGGAAACCCAATCAGAAAGCAGCCTGGCCAATGCTAATGTCAGCCTGCCTGTGCTCTCAGAATATGTCAGAAATTAGGCAGGATGATTATGTACTATCAAAACCAATGTGTAGATGTGCCCCAAGAAGATGTGCCCCTATTCTACAAGTGTTTACTCATGGGAATGATGGCTAGCCAGAAAGGAGCTATGAATTGTAAACCATGTTGATCCTAACAATCAGACTGTACATCTAAATGCAGTGTAAAGGCTGTGAAATTAAGTTTCTTACCTTGCTTGGCTAAGCACAGGGTCACTCTCTGCTGTAACAAACAATGGCAATGGAAGATGAAATCCAGGCCTGTGGTCAGAGAAGCTCCTTCTGAGGAACGGCTGAGGACTGGCAGCACTGATGGTCATCCTCTGTTGGTCCACAAATTGCTTAAGCTGCATGCTATTTCTCCGTGCACATATTGAGGATTCAGGCTGGGCCACAGCCACTCCCACTGGATTGATGTTTGATGACACCACTGGCTTGGCTTCAAATAAAGAGGAAGTAGCTGGACAAAATATTGAGTGAGCATTGCTAACAATCTTTGGGGAGGCAGAATACTGCTCATCCTTGGAGTCCATATTGTTTTGTAAACTTCTATGCAACTGAGATGGGGAAGTGGATGGGGATGGAGTAGTTGCAAAAGGAGGTGGGGTTGTTTCTTGGTCATGGGGTGATAGACTGGACACTTTCTGACTCTGGGGGCTTTGTTGTTTGCGTATCACTGGAGGATTCGAGAGATTTTGCTGAGTTGGTGGAGAAACCACCTTCCTCTGTATTGGGGGGCTTGTTGCCGTGGAGTGAGTTGGAGGACTAGGTTGCTGCTGCAGAGTGGGAGAAGAAACTTGATGAACAGATCTGTGATAGACTGGTGGACTTGGAAACCTCTTCTGACTGGGAGGTGATGAAGGTGGCGTTCTTACTGGAGATACTCGGCTGATAAAACCTGACATTTTCTCATTTTTCTTTAAAAAATCAGGGGAACTTTGCTTTTCAGCTAAAGAAGATTCACTGCTATTCTTGTTTCCTGGATTGCTTCCATTCTGTTCTAATGATTCTTGAGGATTTGGAAGAGGTATTATTTTACAAGACTGTTTATACAGATCTGCAACTTTTTCCACTTCATGATCCCTTTTGCGGCAATCAGACATACGAGTTGAATTCAATTCTAGGAAATATTTATTTGGTATGATATCCAGACCATTATTTGGTGCTTTGTTGACAACTGGGGGATTGCTGAGATTCTTATTTGGTAACAAGTCAACTGAACAGAGGGAAAGTTTCATCCGCTGAGAAATCTGAGTAATTTTCTTACTGGTGCACTGTTCATATTTTCTGGCACTCTTATCAGCCACTTCTGTATAGTTTTCTTCTGTCTTTACATCTCCAGAAGATTCAGTTGATTCAGGTAAAATGTCCATTAACATTTCAGGAGGTGGAGGTGGCAGGTTTTCCACATCAATCTCACCAGAATCCTCATTTGTATCATGGCTATTTGCAAGTACAAATGAGCTATTGCTACTAAGAGTACAATGACTAGTTCTGATGTTTTTGCAACTGGTATCTTCTAATGGTGAAATTTTATGTTTGTGATTTAAGGGCACAAGTCCTCTAGGAAGTGGAAGGTTGGGAGAAATATTTTGAAGTCCAAACTTTCTGACACATTTTATTGGGCCCAATGTTCTTAAGCTTGTGGGTTTCACCAGACTTTCAGATGGGCTAAACGTTTCAATTAACTTTTTCACAGATTTACGAGGTGAAGTGTTCAGTTTGGCTGTCCCAGAATGATTTTCTTTTCTAGATATCAAATCTTTTGAAGACATGCCAGTTGTGACAGATTTTCTACATTTTACATTTTCATTGTATCTATATGAAGGATCAGGCAGTATATTGAAACGTTTAGCAAGAGATGCTTTCAGTTTATTAGTGGAAGTTCTATGAGTAACATGCTCAAAACGTTGTAAGTCAGACGATTCTTTTGGATTCAATGCTTCCAATGTATCATTGATTTCCTCTTTTCTATTTAATTGATAAAATAATTCTAGCCTTCTGTCAAGATCTTTTTGAGTCCTTTGAAGTTCCAAAAGAGTTGGGTCCTCAGCATGACTTTTCAGAGACTCCTCGGACCTAGACCGTTTCTGTTTAGCCGGTGTCTTCCGGCTCCCAGAGGCTGTATTAGGTCTCGGAAATTCTTTTCCATTCCCATCTTCCATCCACCCCCTTTGTCCATGTTTAGCTGGAACAAATTTTATCTTTTCACTAATGGCATCTTTCATTTTGAGTATTATCTCCTCGTTATCTGGGCTATCTATTCGTTTGTTGGAAACCTTCTGTTTATTCTCTCTTGCTGCAGGAAAAGATGTAGATCTTTTCAATAAAGCATTTTTTTCTTTTTCAGACAGACTTATAGTGTCACATTCTTCCTCGGATAAACTGTTGGCACTACTGTCTTCACTTGTGGAAGAAATACTAGCCAATTCACTCTGTTTGAAACTATTATTTTCATGGGTTATATCACAGTACCCTGAGTTAAAAGTTTGCAAAATGTTTTGATGTTGGAGAAAGGTAGATCCACTTTTTGATGCTACCTCAGATGATGACATTGCATTCCTAGTCTGTGGAGATGAGTAAGATATATTCTTAAACTGTTTTTCCAGCACACAGTCATGGGACTTGGTTATGCCATCCCTGGAGTTCAATGGATATTTGTTTTCTCTTGATTTTCTGTTCTGATTTAGGGATGTATGAACCTGTGAATAGGATTCACAACTTGTTTCCATTCCATGCCTATCAGTAAGATTCAAATCTTTCACTGATTCGCTGTCAATGCCTATTCCACTATCTTCAGAATAAAGAGTCATATCATCCAGGTAATGATGGGGAGATCCAACTGCAGATTCTTCAAGAAGTTTTATTGTTCTGAGCAAGCGTTCATCAAAATGTTGCTTCGCTTTCATTTTTTCTTCTAAGCTGGTACTTGCAGATTGCAAAAAGCTGCAAGACTCATGCAGGACATCAGAGGCTAAAGAGGCCACAGTTCCATTTAACAACTGCATTTTGTTGATTGTGTATTGTAGTAATTGTTGCAAAAGATCTGGCTGCTCTTTTGGGTTTTCTTTGCCAGCTGGCCAAGCCAGGTTCCCTCCCACTTCTTTGAGTAGATCTTCTCCATCTTCAGTAATTTCTTCTAAAAGGTGGTTGATTTCATCAAAACGTAAAAGCAAAAAATTCACCATTTGTTGCACAATTAGTTGTGTTTCAGTGACCTGGTTAGTCATGCATAAGATAGCCTCATATTTGGAAAGATTGGGATTGAGATAGGCATATGTATTTTGATGGGCCTTAACAAGCGCATCTGGGAAATCCACCTTCTTTTCAGGCTTACATACAGAAGGACAGGATTTTTCTTTAGTTTTGCAAGGCCGGCCTGGTTTTCCTTGCCTGTTCTTTTGCTTCTTCCCATTTTTGGAGTTTTGATTTTTGTTGCTTTCACTTTTATCTTCCATGGTAAAATCAACCTTTTCTGATTCACAACGTTTTTGCTTTTTGATCATAACTGCTTCTACTATATATTTGTCTGACTCCATCAATTCAGAAATGGCTATCTCAGTCTCTGAGACTACCTTTTCAATTTCTTTCTCTTCCTGGTTCAGTTCAGGTAGCAAAGGGTCCTCAGATGAGGAACAAAAATTAACATCCTTCTCTTCATTTGATAAATTTTTGAAGAAGTGATCTTTAATTTGAGCCTCCCCCTCTCTTATCCCTTCAGTATCATAAGAAGAGGAGCCTTTGATCAGCAAAGGAAATGAAAAGCCTTCACCTCTCCGGTCAACTAACTGAATTCTTTTATTCATCAACTTTGTTTCATGTTTTTCATGATTCTTAACAATATCGCTACGTGAAGGAGTACAGCCCATTGTGCTCCGTCTTCCTAAGTTTTTTTACTACCGAAAGATAGCCAATTGATCAAGCAAAGATGAAAAAGGAATGAAAACTTACAAGTTTCGCTGAGGTTGGGATCTGGCATTTTTTGAGGAAAGCTTCATCTTGAAGAATCGCTGCTTTGCAGATTGCACTGGTTGCTATTAGAAACCTCCAGCTTGGTCAGTGCATTCTCTCCTTTAACAATTTCCCCTATGAAAAAAAATCTGTGGCATTTTAGATCGAGCTAGGGGATTAAGAGTGCTTATGTATCTTGCTTCTGCCTTAACAGATGTCAACCAGAAAGAAAGCTTTAAGCTAATTAGGACAAGAAGCCCACAGCTAGCTCCTGTTACACGCGGCATTTTAGACATTGGCTTTTGGTCTACTGCAATGTATTCTCACTGTGCTTCATTTCTAAACTTTCTTTGGCAGTCTGAAATTCCAGAGACAGATGTAGTTGTAAGTTAGTTCCAAGAGTACTGTTTGCAAGGCAAAATGCTACAGCATGGCCACCCAAAAGGACTGAGCGTAACCTTGAATGGCTAATGCCAATTAGGAAGAAAGCAGCATTAAAAAAGCTTATTAAGCTGTTCAGTCTTATCTGACCTCAAGATCAGCATATGCGCGCACTCAGTCCTTCAGGACTTTCTCCAAGAATGAATAGTTTTAGCTCTCCTCCCTTTTAAGTTTTCAAAATGATAATGCTGTTTTACATAGTTCTATTTTTCAGAGTTAAATAATGATACCAATTCAGCATGCACTTTTTCCCCCAGCTCTGCTTTGATTTCTTCAAGTGCAATAGCACCTGCAGCAGTTCATGGGAGGCTATGAATTATTCACCAGAGTGATGTCTCTCGGCATCAAAAGAGCGCTCAGTAATCTTCTCTTGCCCAAAGGCTGGATTAATGCAACCAGGTGCAGTTGATTAGTCTAATGAAAATGCCCTTTATGTGATCTTGGAGGGGTTCCCAATCACTTTACAGCCAGTACAAACAAGAGGTGTTGTCTGTCTGAATACAGATCAGATTCTTGATCAAGAACAAGCTAGTGAATCGTCTCACAGTCATGGTAGATCTATTCTCATGTAATGCTTGGATTATTATGAATAATCTTTGGTTGGTTGGTTTGTTTTTTGAATGTCCTGGTTAATTTACAGTTCTTCACAGAATTGCTGTGGAGGACATTAGGCCTCAGAAAGAATTCAATACTGGGGACTTAGTATTATTTTTAGGGCAATGGGCTTAAGCTGATCATGAAATGGAGAAAATGAAAGGAGAAGTTTGTCTCCCCTGTCATAATGCTAGAACTCAGGGTCATTCAAAGAAACTCAGTGGTTTCATTTGGGACATTGAAAATGAAGAATTTCTTCATATGCTATAATGTATAATGTGTAGTGTTAGCAAGAGACATGGGGATAATTATACACTTGGAAGGCTTTAAAAGAGGATTAGACAAATTGATGGAGTATTGTGCTATTAATGACTACTTATGGTAGCTATTTATTCATGTCATTTCCTAGTTAAGGGATATAAGATGGAATAGATAGGTTTTTGATTTGATCAATATGCATCTTATTCTTACAATAATGTTGCAAGAGATATGAGTCATCAAAGACACCCAAGAAGTTTCATGCTACATGAGATGATTCCAAAGTGTGTGTATCTAAAACAACATTCTAAATGTAGAATCCTTGGGATTCTCTGAGCTTGGTTGTTTTCTTGCAAACATTTTGTTACCTGGCTAGGTAACATCTTCAGTGCTAGAA